TTATAGTACGGAACCGAACCGAACAAAACCGAACCGAACCCGAACGGTTCCAAAATTATATTTGGAACCGACGGTTCCATTTACTAAAGAACCGAAAATTTTTGGAACCGAAAAAAACCGAACCGAACCGACCCGCGCCCACCCCTAACTCCAGGTAGTCATATAATGCCTTTCTTTCGTCGGAAAAACCAATTTAGAAGGAGAAACTATGCGTTTTTGGGATCTGTTGCTCCCTCGAAAATACTTTGGAGGTGTAAATGGATTAGAGTACACAAGCATTGAAGATCGACTTTACTTAAGTGTGTCATAACTTAATTAAGCAGTTTTCAGCTGGACATAACTTGTTCAAAAGCCCAATAGCTACTTTCTACACATTACGCGGCAATCATTTTCCGAGTATGTACCCCTTAATCTCTTAATTACTCCAATGGCCACGTGTAATTAAGCAAAATTAATAAGATTTTAAGGGATTTTTTATGATTGATTATAAGTGAATTGTACGCTGTGCCTATTGTGTTAATACGGAGTTAGAGACATCTGGTTGAGCTTAATTTTCTTGTATTGATCTAGCTTGCGAGTGATTTTGATCTCATGTTTGTGTGGCATTGCCCTCTATTTGTGATGCAGATCAATTAGAAGAGAAAATCCTAAATCATTTAGAAAGGAAAGGAAAGGAAAGGAAATAAAAATGATTTACGAAAACGAGCATAACTTTCATATCGGTTGTCGAATTTTCGTCCATGAGTACAATTCCAAAGCGTTTTTCGATTCTGCACATTTTTGTTGAGTGGCCATCATAGTCAAACTTTCGAAGTTAAATTTCATCATTTAGATGTCATTTTTAGCATTTTTCTGTTTTTAGTTAATTTAAGGGTATTTTCGTCTTTTTTATTTTTTAACTTTGATTTGGATTTAGCTACAAAATGTGGATCTCAATGTGATTAAGATTTGTGAGTCTTTAACTACGTGTTACGGTTGTGAATACATTACATTTGTTTTTATTGATTAATAAGATATTTTAGTTTTTCCAGTTATTTGATGGATTCGTATAATTCTCACGTCCACTCGAGCAAACACTCATTTGGGTGTTATGGATAAGAACTTTTTATTTGTTATTCACGTTTCCATCGTACGTTAATTTGTACCATGGTCCGAGTTCTTTTGGCTCATTCAAGTGCTATGTGTTGTATCATGTTAGTATGAGCATTCACCACTTGAGCACACTTGTGTTGAGATGGCGATTTAGTTTTGTCTTGCAACAAATCCCATTGCCAATTTGGTAGGCCTAGTTATGGGCTCTTCTTAAAGTCCAGTTCCAAAGTGAAGTGAAGGGCCAGCAATCGAAGCATGGGATTATCTATTGAACCTAAAGGCGTTAGATGAGTAGAGTGCTTTCTCCCTATACAATTATATCTTTAGTAAAAATCTCCTTAGAGTGCTTTCTCCCTATACAATTATATCTTTAGTAAAAATCTCCTTAGAGTGTAAAAATCTCCCTATACAATTAATTTGATTCTTTGATCCTTATGATCCTATTAAGAATGTTATAAGGCCGCAAATAAATTTCCAAGATTAAACTAGTTCCGATGGCAATCTAAGCGTAACAAAACTTGTGTGGTTGGACTTATATGACACTCTATCATATTGATTTGAATAAGACCTTTACTATTAGGATTGCATTGTACTTGGCCATTTCCATGGGTCATACTTGTTCATCATTTATTAATACATATTATCTTCTATTTTTGCTATGACTGTCTAAGAAGCTTTTAAACTTGTTGCGTACACGTATTCGATAAATATTCAAGATTGAATACGCTTGGACACTCTTCAATACGTATCGAATACTTCATATATATATATATATATATATCATATTGATTTGAATAAGACATTTGGCCATGTTGTTACTATTGGGATTGCATTGTACTAGGCCATTTCCATGGGTTATACTTGTTACTTTCGGAAGAGTTTTATTGATTTTAAACTCTTTTAAAACTCATAATTATTGGCAGTGGATGACACCAATTTTATTTATTTTTACTTAATAGAAAACTATTGTTATTATCAATAGTTTATTGAAAATAGATAATATGTATTAATTAACAATTTCAAAGAAAGTAAATGTGTTTTAATATATTAGGTAATCACACTTATTAATGAAAATAGATATAGTATTAAATAATTGATAACTAGAGTTTTATTACTGAAAATAGAAAATAGTATTATAAAAGACATGGTGGTTACTTCGTGGTTCATTTGCACTTTGCTTCATAGCAACGTTTTGAAGCTTTTTGTGCACTTCATCTTGTTCTTAAAAAAATTGAAACACTTACTCTTTTGTGCACTCTATAGAACAGAATAAATTAACACCACAACGAATTGAATAATTGATTTTTCACTCATAGGAATTTGTGTCTATTTTATATATAAAAAAAAATCTTTATTCAAAAGGACATTGTCATAGACTCGTTTGATACTCTTGAATGTGTTGGGTTGCTTAAAGTTTTTAATCTATCATTAAATGAGCTGGAGTTGGAGTTTGATTTTTAATTATAATCGAGAAGTTGATGATGGTGATATTGAATAAAGTGAAGTTGAGATACTTAAAGATTAAGATAAAATATTTGAATATTTTATTTTTAT